TGTAGCGATGGGACCCTTCCGGCGTCTAGTTTTGTGGACCCAACTTCCACGGCAAGGGCGTGGCATAGTTCTGCGACACGCAAGGGACGTTCCGCCAAAGATACCCACATCAATACCGCCATGCCCAAGGTCGGCTTATATCCCCCTTGTCGCTTAATTCTGTGCAAGGTCTCGCTGTAGGCATCGCCCAAACCATTTGCCGTTTGGTAGAGCTTCTCCCGTCTCCCACTGATGGTAACTTCTCCCAAGATCGCCTCCACATGCAGCCTAACGAGTAGAAAACTAAATGATTGTTAACCTTGCCAGTATCACAGACAGCATTGTACTCACATTTCGGCATGCTGTTTCACAATATGCGTCACAATTTCCGATCCTAGTTCGTCATCCATTGCATCAGGTAAGGAATCATCCTCCATCCTTGCGGTTAGATATGCCCCGACATCTTCTGGACTTGGCTGTATGCTGATGACACTAAAGGGCTCCGTAAGGTGCCCACCCAGCTCTAACTGGATGTGGGGTCTGCCCGTCAGGAACAACGAGATTTTTGGTGATTGGACCATTATTTGCCTGAGCAGGCGGAGGAATTCAGCTCGGTAGTCCACTGCAAATTCATCCAGCGCATCGATGCATATGAATGCCTGGTCAAAAGATTTGAGCACCTCGGGGAATATCTGCAGCATTTTTCCCAGCTGAAGAGGCCTTCCCCCAATTTGCTTCCTAGAAACCTGGAAGGCTTTGACGAGTTCTTCGGGAATCTCCTGCAGTCCGGCCACGAACTGTTTCAAGACGCTACCGATCATGCTTACCGGGTCTTGCTCCTTTTGGTCACGATAATCGCAGTACAGGCACGCAATCCCGACATTTGATTCCGCTGTGCTATCGCATAGGGTGTCGATTACCAGAGAACTAAAGAGAGCGAGCACGCAGTCAGTTGGGGCAGTATTTTCTGGCGTGGGATTGCAGACGCTACCTAACAAAGGTCTTTCCCACTCCGGGATTCCCACAACAGAACAGAGTCTGATGAACGGATTCTTTACCTATTCCACCCCGCCAGGCTTGGAACTGAGGAGTCCTAAGAACCCAACCTCCCACTTCTTCCACCCGGCTCATGGAAACATCTTGATGCCTCTTCCGTGACTCTAGGGGAGATATCCAAGAGAGGATCCCCGCTGTCTCATCAACACCAGTCGCGAGGTTGATTGTGTTATTGTTATAGCTGCCCGAGACAATAGTACTATTAACGTTGCCACTAAAGCTTTGGGTCATCTTTTCCGTAGAAACGGGGGCGAATTATATCGTTGGTGTTTGCTCGATGCTAACTAAATACCGACGTTTTCGCGATCTTGACCAGGCTACCGTAGGAACTCAAATAATCGAGCAGCGTGCTATGAGGTAGAGAATTCCATGGAAAAGGGGCAAAAAAGCACAGCGAAAAACCAGCTCCTCAGCCCCCCTTCTGAGGGACATAAAAAACAAAAAAAACACCAGACCATACCAGAGGAGCAACTCCAACGACATAACACACGGTTCGATTATTCGAGTTTTTACGGTATGCCTTGGCATAAGCCTCACTTCGATATTACAAGTACGATAAAGCCCCGCAAGCCACATCAGCTCATCGGACCACGCCCCCTGTGAAAAATTTATCGCCAAAACCATAATATTATTACGAATAAATTACTAGCAAGTTGACGGAAGGTGACTGAAACGGTGAAACGCTAGCACAGTACAGTACCAGTATCTCTTCGTTCGGTTTTAAGCACATGGCCAACTCCCGGACTACGTGATCCTTAGAAATCTCTTGCTACCCCTACCGTCGCTAGTAAGCAATCTTGCTGTTGGTTACTAGAAATTTGAAAGGTGTGCACACTTTAGGATGCCCGTTACTACAAATATCACACTCGAGTACAGTACCAGTGTGAAAGTGTCTCGGTTGACTTCCGTAATTTGGATAGTGTGATTGACCGAGCTGACACCTGTGCAATTGTGATGACCGTATGATGCAATATTCAATCAGATAAGAGTGTAGAATTATGTTGATAAAGTTGACAGTAAAACACAGTGGGAAAGCAAGCAAAAGAGTGGGGAAAATAACACCCAGAAATAACAGTAAAAGAAGAGGTGGAGTTGGTTGTACTTTGTACAGGATGAGTCTTCTCTGTGCTGTTCTTCCTCTCTCTCTGAGGAAGGCAAGGCCATGCTTCCAGGTGAAACATTTCCACCTGCTAAGCCTCATCCTAAACAGAAAATTCTATGGGTATGATAAAAAAACCCAGAAGACATGACCAGAAAACCCCTAAAACCTTTCTCACGCCACACCGGTAGGCCACAACCCCCCCAACCCCTAAACCTAACCACACTACCCGTAGCGGTTGGTAACAGGGTGGGATTGGTGATATTAATATTTAGCGGTAGTCCCGATCTCATGGTGCACAATTGCAAACTACCTTCAGTCGTTCCATCAACAATGTCTTAGAGAGACTCCAGAACTCGATGTCACCTCTCCAAACCTCCGATATCCGATATGAGCCTAATTCCTTACCGTGCCAGTCTCTACGGAAAAGCTTGTTATCACCCCAAGTCCAAACCCCAGAAAAAGACAATTAATGCCAAAAGCAACTGATAAATCACTCGAATAGTATGTTACGGGGTCCCTCCCTCGAGTATACCCAATACCCAATCAGAAGTTCCACCATCCGGGAAACCACCAAAGAATCCATGCATCATACTCCAGCTCGCGCTCCCGATTCAATCGCCAGATAATCAAGCACCCACCCCACAAAACTTAGAAGGCGCCAAAGTTCGAAACGGACCACCTCCGTCTGTGACAAAAGTACAGTACAAGTTACCGCTATTCCGCATGCGGTTAGTTAGGAATTTCCGTGATGATCACTTTAATATTCCCCGGAAAACTCATGTCTACCTTTTACACTATTGGTACTCTACCAACACCAAACCATTTCAATCAGCCGACACGCCCTCCCCCATCGCTGTTCAATCCACCATACCTACCGCACCACCCCAACCTAGGAACCCAGCACTCATTAGTCCCTATACCAATGGAATCGCTCCCTCCCTCCCTCTCACTATCTATTCACGTCCCCCATTTCCCTAATCACCCACCTCTCGAGCTCCTCCTTCCCCATGTAAGCCCTCCCACTCTCATTCACAGGACGACCAGACAACTACTTGCAACGACCGCGCTAGATTCCTCATTTCAACGAAGCCACGACTCTTGCAATAGGACTCTGTGTACTCGACTCTTCTCGGGGTCTACGAAACAAGTATATACAAAAAAGATCAACCCATAACATAACCAACCACTTCCAACACCAGATTCTGGATTTCTTTTTCTTTACTTTACCAGGACCGCTATAACCCACGAACGCGAATCCGCAATAACGAATTTCAATGCCTTTAACAACAACAATAATAACCCGGAGCGAACATCCATAACTCGAACACTCATCACCAGCAAACCCGCGCCAAGTTCCGAACCAGCGACAGACGCACCAAGGCTTCCGCCAAACGGACTACTTCCCTTTTATCCAGTTTCCACCCTCTTTATCGTTAGCCACCGTTCCAGCCCTTCTCCATCTCTCCTCCGTTCGTCTCACAACCGCACAACCACGCCATATCCAACCATGCTATTACTCTCTTATCATAATCCGTGGTCCTTCCGAGATTTCTCATATTACCAACCCCGAGTTTCTGATATCATTATCCACTTATTTATTTTCCTTCGCTTAGCTGTTCAGTTCGGCATAAAACCCCCCACAGCGGCACATGTGGTAAAGAAAATTCAAGCTTCTTTCTCGACAGCAGCAGTGATATCAATCCACATCCCAATCGAGTGATACCCCATGACCACAACCGATCACAGGTGCCTAAAAAAGATGATTCGGTAATTCCCCGAAAATACCGACTGGAACGTAACTTATATCCAGTGTTTACGGGGGGGGATTGCGTAGAGTATCTTATTTGTATGTTTTAACTTCTGTTTGGATCTAAACCCCTGAAGAAGAAAAAAAGAAAAGATCGATCGATGCCTTTGTGAGGAAGGAATTACACATTTCGGGGATTTTGCGTTCTTGTTTGATGTGCCGGCGGTGGTATGATATGATGATTATGATATCATAGCTGCGGTAGTGGGGGGGGTTTGTGGGCCGTTCAGGTTTAGGTTCTCGGCGTTCGCGATTAAGCGGGGGTTGTTGTTGTTGGTAGCAGGGTATGTATGATACGAGGTATGATATGGCGGGGGGGATGCACGACACGACAGTTTAAAGGACGGGGACGGCGCAGATGCAATCCCGCGGTCTAAAAAAAAATTAGCTTGCCAAGATGATCACTGCGGGTGGATATACTCGAGTATAGTTACAGTTGAAAAGCCCCCATAAGTTACCAGTATAACTATTATGCATACCGTGAAACTCGGACATTTTGGCCAAGAGCTATGCATACCGTTAGTAACTGCATCCCCCGGCACAGTAGGGTTTTGTGCCTTCCGGATTTCTACTCTACCGTGTTTTTCGCTCTTTCTCAATAGCAGGGGATTTCGCCATCCTACAGCCCCCGACCCTCCCAAACCTCCACTCTCCTCTAAGTTACTATCTCCGAACTGGCATCACCCATCTACCGCGATACCCCCGAGTGACCCCCCATGACCAAAAATATCCTTCCCACACGTGACTAACCACTAACCCCCCCAATCCAAACCCCGGATTCCAAATCCAGAAGCTCCACGCAGGTCCCTATCTCATGTACTCGTATCACCCATCCGCTTCCGATAAGGTGCTTACGGTACGGTACTCGTACTTTAGGAGTGCATGGAGGAGCACCGCACCGAACCGCACCGCACCGCAAAGCAAATACGAGTAGCGCACTATACCAGCACGATACCTGCCTGATTGCATGATGCGATGGGGCGGTGAGGCAACTTACGGGGGCTGGCTAGTAGGTAGGCATGGGAGAGGGTGGGGAGAAATATGAATGGCTCGGCCCGAGAGTACGTAATGTAATTTCGCGTGGACAATCTGGTAGGCTACGGTACTTGCTACACCACAATGGACAAGACTTTCCACAGAAATGATGAAAAAATGAGGATAGGAAAAATGCGGTCAAAACAAACATACCCTATGAAACAGGAACCTATCCGAGTGGAAAAAAAACCCCCCGAAAAGAGAAAAGAACAGAAGGCGATTTCAAGTTTTCCACCCTCTCTTAGCTCCGATTTCCCGGCCTTTGACGGATCGGTAGTCCTCGTATTGTTGAGTGTACGCGCCGCCCTGCGATGGCCCTTGGGGTGGCTGCCAGCCCTGAGCTCCTGCGGGTGGATATTGATGCTGCTGCTGATGGTGGGTGCCGGGTGCGGAGGGCGGAGGAGGCGGGGAAGGGCCACCGTAGTTGTATGGATATTGCTGCTGTTGTTGCTGGTAGTATTGCTGCTGCTGCTGCTGCTGCTGTTGCGCATTTGGCATGTTCCAGTTCTGCGGAGGTGGAGGAGGAGGAGGTGGTGGTGGTGGGAACGCTGGCTGTGCTCGATAGTACGGCTGATGGAGATGATGGGGAGGTAGTGGTGGGGGTGGGGCCGGGTATCCTGATTGGTGTGGATACTGACGCGTTTCCACAAGTGGAGAGATATTCGGCTGAGTTCGCGGCGGCTGCTGAAAGGAAGGCTTCTCTGCAGACCCCGATCTCGATCGTGATCGTGACCGGGCACGGGCGCGGGAGCGAGAGCTGGAACGAGATGAAGGACTCCTACTCCTGCTACCTCTCCCCCTTGACGACCGTCTCCTATCCCGAGAGCGAGACCTTGATCGTGAGTAATACGACGCTGATCTGCTTTGCCGGCTCGCGTCTGAGGTATAGCTGTAACTCCTGTGACGGTAATCTCGCTCTTCCTTTAATGCGGCGCGTTTCTTCTGCTTCATCTTTTCGCAAAAGTCCTTGCTCCATCCATAGTAGCTTTCACCGCCCCCACCTCCGATTGCGTCCGGATCTTCCATAGGAGCATCATCACCGTTAAACATATCGTCGGTAGACTTGATAAAGTCCCTGACCGCGGCTGCAAGCGACTCGTTGGGGACTAGAGTCGAGAACTGGATCGGTTTCATCAAGCGCGGATTGATAGGCGTCGGTGAGTTGGGTATTAGATGAGGGAGCATATTTGCCGCAGGGAGGTCGTAGAATGGTAGCGATGGATCTCCATGAAAAGGAGGAAGCAAGAGTGGCTTCTCCACCGAAACCCTAGCCTTCGCCGTCTCTGTGGATGCTGTGGGTCGAGCAGTAGGAGTAGCCGATGTAGCATCCCTGACAATAAACTTCAGCTCCTCGATAAACGACTTGCTGTAATAACCCTTCTCCGCCCAGATATCCAACAGCTTCTCCAACTTCGCTAGCTGCTTCACTGCCCCTGGATACATTGCCGCGACGAACAAATCCGCAAGAAACGGTTTGACCTCCTCCGCTAACAAACCGTCGGAAGGCTCGTTATACGTAGTATGGTGCAACAAATCATTGACCAGGTATAAGACGCTGACCCTCTTCCTCCTGGCGCTAGCCTTCCCAGTAGCAGTAGTCGAAGTCGAAAGCGAAGGCGACAGAGCCGTCAGGAATTTCCCAAGGGTGGCGAACCGAGCACGCGAATTCATATATCTCAAGATCCATCGTTTGCAATTCTATTTGCACAAAAACATAGCCGGGGAAAGGGGGAAGCCATCCGGACAACGAAGTAATTAGCCATGTTTGGTCTTCTCCAAAAAAAAATGTTTCAAGAGATTAAAAAAAAAATCAAAAGGTGGGGGGAGAAAGGAAAGGAACTTTGATCAAACAAAAATTCCCCCTTTTTATCTCTCTCTCCCTTTCTCCCAGCATTTCTTCATTTTTTTTTCTTCTCTCTTTCATCGTGAGTGCGGTGCGGACGCGGTCTGGGGAAGTATGTGTGTAGCAACCTGGATATTCGATGGTGAGCACTTGCTCAGTGCCTGCTCCAACAGCGCGTGAAAACTGGAGATCTCGTCACGAGAGACTGCGGTGGGGTCGGGTCGGAGGAGACCGGCCGCGAGTGAAGCGCGTGCGATGGTAACTTGATGGGAAACGGCCGAGGCCATGGTGATGATGGCGGCAGAGCAACACGTTACGGTGCGATAGGGGAGGGGTGTGTTGAGGGTGAGTAAATCGTGTGTGCTGAGGTGGAGTGCAGCAGTATGTCTGCTGTCTAGGGGGGACGAGATAAAAATAAAATAAAAAAAGGCGTCCTGCAGTGGTAGGAGATTGTGTGCGATGGTTCGAGGTTGGAGGGAATGAAGTCTCGGTTCTCAGGTGAACTTAGTGGAACCAATGTGTGGTGCTGCACCAGGAACTGTTGTAGTGTGGCCCTTGTTCATTCGCTGGTCTCATCAAACTAGGGAAACCCGTTCTTTAAAAGACCAGAAAATATTAAAACTCTTTGATGGATCTGTCTCCCTACATAAAATGTTGTGATCCTGTTGCTTCTTCTTTCTACTGCAAATAATCTCTCCGGCTGTCAGGCGCTCGTAGAGTAAACCCAGATTATGCTTCCGATCTTGTGCATTATTTCTCTCGCATTAAACTTATCACTCTTGCTTCCCCCCCCCGCAAGAGACAGCCCAAAAACCCAAAGCCCAAGCCCGACCTCTCCTCGATCTTCCCGATGAAAAAATGGAGTGAAAGAAACCAGAAGAGAGTAATACCGGCCGGCCTCCTTTTTCAACCGCCTACACCTGCCAATTCCCGACCCCTTGGTTCTCGTGATCTCTTTCTCATCCTATTGGTATGCACACCTTTCTTTACAGTATGTCGCTGCCTTCCATTCCTCTTGCGAGACTCGTGCACTAGCCCTATAGCGTACTAAGCTATTTGGAAAGGCAAGAAAAGGAAACCCCCCCCCAAAAAAAAAGAAAATGATGATACAGTACAAGTACAAGTACCGGTACTCGAGCAAGATACTGTACCGTCACCGGAAAATTGGGAAGAATAAAATAGAGAAGTACCAACGCCGCACCCTAGCCCCGGAAGATAAGCTGGGGAAGTATGATAGGAGATGAAAATGAAAAAAAATAGAAATATGCAGAAAGGGAGCTTGCATTTTTGCTTGCCCCGTCCACTTAGAAGGAGGCCAAATGGTAATAAAGATTGTGGGAGAAACACCAATCGAAAAAGCAAGAAGCATATGATACAATACCGACTTTCCCCTCACCAGTTAGACGACCACTCTAGCAAGATAAACGAGTTAACGCGACAAATCAGATTTCCGTCCATTCCCAAGAAAGACCAAATAGGAAATTTTAAAAAGGAAAAAAAGAAAGAAAGAAAAGAAAAAGAAACAGGAGATCGATTTTCCTTTTGCTTTAGGAGATGCAACGTAACTTAACGTAATGTAAAAGCGTGGGATTCCCAATTACGTCTCCAGGGCAGCAACAGCTCTAGCAAGATCATCCTCCGCCACGATGACCGTTCCAGCCCTAGCAGTGCTGAGGTAGCTCATCTCGATCGCTTCGGCCCTATCCAGATTCCCCCCCACCAATTTTCCTGCAACCCCACACACAATTCCCGTAGAATCCACAGGAAGACCCCTCAAATCCAGTAGAATGGGGATGAGCACGTCCTCCTTGCTGCCCAGTAGGGCATCGTCAGAACCAAACATAGGAAGCATCTTCTGCTCCAACAGCAGAGATGCGGGCTCCGCGTCTGTCAAGGTGACGCTCAAGAATTGAGGGTTTGAAATGAGACATTTGACCAACCCTAGGTAGAGCCCTGTGTCGTCGCTGCTTCTACCCTTATTGGCCGAGCGTCTGCCAGCACATAATACCAGTCTTGTATTTTTGTTCACCTGCGGAACCACGCTCTGTTTCCGCAATGTTTCAAACGTCTTTATTTGCAGTTCACCGATTGTGGTTGTTGGTGGCGGCGAAGGTGGAGCGACAATAAATGAGGGGGTGGAGGATGAGTTGCGGTGATGGGAAGGGCCCGTGACAAACGCCTCTGCGTGCTTCTCAAAAACGAATCCCCGTCGTTGCAGCGCCCTGGTGACCTGACTGCGGTTCCTCGATGGAACCAAGATATAATCTGAGAAATACGTTGTGAGGAAGAATATGGGGCTGCAAACGAAACAACCACTCGTTAGATTCTGATATATAAAAAATCCAATAGCACGGATGATCTCCGCCAATCTTTCACCGAAATATTACTACTCACACTCCAGCCAATGCCAACGGACTGGTCAGGTCCAAGACTCTCTGACCCGCATCCAACCCTTCCCCATCCACCTGAATTGCAACAAACTCGTCCTCAGAAATCCTGACCTCTTCCCTATGGCTTGATGACAGGGTTTGTATAATCGGTGCAAACAGGTTCTCCACCTGCTCGATAGAACACGCAACGGAGCACTCTACCGGTGTCACTGAGATGTTGACAAATTTATTGCTCGAGGACAAGGATGTTCCCGCAGAACCGTGGTCCGGAACCAAATCTTCTTCATAATCCGACCCATACACACGATCCCCCTCGTCATCATCATCACCATCGCACGTATACATCCTTGTTCCCTCGGCCCTTCTCCTGCCACCCCATGCCCTCCTATCCCCCGAGGACGAGGATATCGAGGGAAGTATCAACGATAAAATCGCCTGGACAAAATGCGGGTACAGATGCAGGGGAATATGGATCAGGCTTAGCCGGCATTCCTGTATAATCCTCACGGATGTTTGTAAGCCGTTGCAAACTCCAGTAGCAGCAGAAATTCCTTCAAAACTCGAAAATGAATCGGAGTACGCCGAGAGCGAGCTGTTGCTTCGTGACGACGCAGCTGAGTCTGGCGGTGATAAGGTGCTCCCCTCAAACATAGAATTGAACGAACAGGCCAAAGAGGGAGGACCCCCGGCCACCGTCGACGATTTTGAGTACAGAGTAGAAGATCTCGAGGAGGGCATCCTTCGAGGAGAGGAAGAAGAAGAGGGAGAACAAGAAGAAGAAAACTGTACAGGCAGAACAGGAGCAGGAGAACTAACGAGAAATTGGATTGAGGCGCTCATGTAAGTCACGAATCTTCTATCATAAGAAGATTCCACTTGTGCTCTCTTTTTTTCTTTTTTCTTTTTCTTTTTCGCCCTCCCCCCCCTCTTTCCTTTTTTCCTTTTCCTCCTGGTCACTAGTCAAACAATGAAAACGTATGATATCTCCTCCGCCAGATAAGCCTGCCCGCCAGAGGCAAAGGCCAAAGACCTCCTTTGGAGAGCAGGGGGAAACGCGGGGCAGTGATTGGGTAAGTAGGGAACAGTTGTGAAGGATATCCAAGGGAATACAGAGAACGAAAACAAGAATCAAAAATATTTTGGGAAACAAACCTTACTCCTGATTGCCAGTGTATCACGATGGTAAGAGGACGGTGGGGGGGATATGGCGGGTCTTATGTATAACGTTGAGGCTGGCTAGCGGAAGAGGAAGAAGTGGGGGGATGTAAAGGAAAACGGGCACCGGACTTTTTTTTGTTTTTTTTGCTTGCCCTTTTTACTTTCCGGGGAGGCGAGGGGGGAGGGTTGACGGGTCTGTAGCAGGGTGAATGGTAGGTAGCCCACTCGATTGCGGTACGGTACGGGTAGGTGTGCAAGAAGGGGTGTCGCAAAACCAGAGCTGTGGGATAGAGGTCAACCAAGCTTGGAGGGGAGCAGGAGAGCATGCACCGTGGTCCAATTCGTGAAGTCAATTTCGTGACTGACGGGATGAGTGGGTTGAGTGACGTTACCTAGTGTGCCAATAAGCTTCAACGAGAGCTCGTCTCACGCGAGATGTGCCCGAAAACAGGGATTAAGGAAATAAATGGCAAAAGAGATGCACCCTATGAGCACAGTAGATAAACTTACCTATTCTACTTGTGCCCATACAAAGTACTTGTAGGGTACTGTATCTCCCCCCGTTTTCGGGTAGTCTACCCCTTGTCCTGAAGGAGCACCGTGCCGGTGCTGTATGCACTGCGAGTACTTGTAGAAGCAGCTCCCGCCCAGAAACAAGCAGCAAGCAATACCGTTACCGATGGTTAGCGGAGGGGTGGACTAACTGCCACGACCCACGAAGCAGATATGATAAGTCAGAGAGCGACAGAGGAGGGAAAGCGAGGAAGGAGAGACGGAGAGAAGGATATGCAGGCGCCGAGATAAACTAGCACCGCGATCTCTGGGTTCTGGGCGGATCTGTCGACTTGGCCGTCATGGCAGAGACGAGGGTAGGCCGAATAAAGGTAGCGTCCCTGCTCCCAGCTCGCTAGTTGCGTGGGATATTAGCCGGCAGAGGATAGAGCACAGTACTACACCGAAAAGCATACAGCCACCACCACCACCACCACCACCACCTCCCGAGACAAGCTTTGCAGAGCAGACTCCTCGACACCGGTTCGAACAACGAGCACCTCTTGGTCGCCTCAACCTCTTCGCCCACATCGCATCCTCACAGACCTCGGATTCGCGCGAGAACCTTACCATCTCGATTCCCCCGTTATTTCCGGGCAGCTCATCATCTGGCGTGCCGTACTCGAGTGGACTGAATGACACGAGAATACATGCTCGCCACCATTAGTATCTATAGTACTCGAGACCCCTGAAAACCGCCAGTACAAAATGCCCGGAAAGACAGCGCTAAAATGCACTATGAGACAGCACTAAAATGCACTATGAGACAAATGCCCGGAAAGACAGCACTAAGCTAGGGTGGGTTGAAGGAGATAAAAGACACCGGGGGGGAAGAAAATAAAATCAGAGCGGGAAAAAAAGGAAAGGGTAAGGGGGCCAGTGGGTAGCTTTGATGATGGAAATAGAAAATATGATATGTGAGGGGAGAATAAAGTTACCCTACCTTAATGAGATATGAAAAGGTTACCCTGCCTGAGCTCAGATAATTATCCTATCATACAGGTGCCACAGGTAGTTACCCTACCTAAAGCAACTTTAATTCATACTGGAAAATAGCTACAGAATCTCTTTGCAATTATATTATGTGAATCAGGTCCTTCTCATCCAGTCAATTTGTAGTTGACATATAGAGATTTTCTTTCTGATGACTATAAGTATATACTAGAACATAGTATGAAAATTCTGAGTCTATTAGGTAAGCAAACATATAGCCTTAAACAATATTTTTTTCAAATACTCTCTGATATGGATAATTGGTTAGATCACTTTGCATTGCTATTATCTTTATCTGACTTAAAATATAGTCTTTGTAGTCAATATTAGAATAGGTTACTATATGAAATTATGTAGAGTTAAATAGAATGCTTTAAAGATGTAAACTACAGTTAAATTCTGTACAGAGATATGTATTTCAAGTAGTTCTAAGGTCAGTAGATATTAACACTGGAGATATGTTTTTCCATAATAGGACAGGAGGAGCAGGAAAGACATTTTTGGAGAATACAATTCTTATAAAAATTTAAAGTTAATGCAAGATTGCTTTAGTAGTAGCATCTAGCAGTATTGCAGTAATACTACTTTAAGAAGAATGAATAACATATTAAACTTTCTGAAGTACCTTGATTTTAGACAATCAGTCTATTTGTTCAATCAATCATGGATCTCCTCAGGCTAAGGTTTTTCTTCAAACCTCACTTATTATTTCGGATAAAGTAACTATATAATATAAATATATATATCATACAGTTTTAAGAATGTTAGATATTTATCAAGACTCTTGCTCTTTTAGAGAAATAACTATGTTTTTTGCTAGAGATTTTAGATAATGTCTTCCAGTTGTTCCTGGTAGTTCTCAATCACAAATTGTCAACTTTACTTTGATGCATGCTACCTACTGG